CATGAAAAAATGCTCATCATCACTGGTCATTAGAGAAATGCAAATCAAAACCACATTGAGATACCATCTCACACCAGTTAGAATGGCGATCATTAAAAAATCTGGAGACAACAGATGCTGGAGAGGATGTGGAGAAATAGGAACATTTTTACACTGTTGGTGGGGGTGTAAATTAGTTCAACCATTGTGGAAGACAGTGTGGCGATTCCTCAATGACCTAAAAATAGAAATCCCATTTGACCCAGCAATCCCATTACTGGGTATATATCCAAAGGATTATAAATCATTCTACTATAAGGACACATGCACACGAATGTTCATTGCAGCACTGTTTACAAGAGCAAAGACCTGGAACCCACCCAAATGCCCATCGATGATAGACTGGAAGATGGTATTCTTTTTCCCTCATCCTCAGAGCCTCCCTCTCTCCTCGCACCCACCACAACGCTCAGCAGACTCTTCTAAAGGGACTCAAGCTCTGGAAACAAAGGACAGGAAGGGAAATCTGGAAACCCATTACTGCTTTCTGCCCTGCCATGAACATTCCCGGAGGACAGGAAACCCAGAGCCTGCTCCCTGCTGGAATGAAAGAAGAGAGAAGAAAGGGACAAAAGCCCTAGGGAACAAACACATGAATTCATAGTTGAATGAATTGTCCTGCTGGGACAGGCGAGCCTTGAGCCAGCCAGCCTCAGGAAGCCAGGTGGGGGAGGCATGGAACAGGGGACCTCCCCAAAGTGGTGGTTGGCATGAAGGTTCTGAAATGCGGGGAAATCCAGTATTTGCCTCTTGATGATCTCACAGAAAAAACAAGATGGGAGAAGAAAGAGAAAGCGTCAGACCCCAACCAGAGGGTGAGTCCTGTAGGAACCTCACAGTCAACATGGGAATGGGAGGCAGAACCAGGAAGCCCAGAGGAGCACTCAACCCCATAGGCCTTCCCTATGGCCCATGGCATCCTGGCCCTGGACTTGGCCTGCGCACTCCTAGTTACAGGGAGCTCGCTGCCTCCCAGGGCAGCCTCTTCCAAGCTGCTGTCCACACTGGGTGTAAGTCTTCTGTTTCAGGATCTCACTCTATCACCCAGGCTGGAGTGCAGTGGCACAATCTCAGTTCACTGCAACTATTACCAGAAAGGGGTCCGGAACCGGACCCCAGGAGAGGGTTCTTGACCTTCACTGAAAAAGAATTCAGGGCGAGTCCATATAGTGAAGTGAGAGCAAGTTTATTAAGGAAGTAAAGGAATAAAGGATGGCTATTCCGTAGGCAGAGCAGGGTGTTTCCGAAAGCAAGAGGAGGAATGTGTCCACCCTAGGTACAATATGTGTTTATATATAGGATAAAAAAAAAGATCGTGGGTGTTGAAAAATGCATGCTTTGAATGAGGAGACCTTCCAAACAGGCTTTGTGTGCGTAACATGGCTGTTTATTCACCTGGATGCAGGTTTGGGTAGTTTTTTGGGGGATGGGGGTGGTGCAGAATAAGTTCAGTTACGGGTGGTGGGGGTTAGGGGGCAAGGAGTATACACGACCACAAGTTCAGTTACAATGGCAGGGTTGGGTGAGAGGTGTTTACCATAAGAACAGTTAAGATGGCAGGGTTGGGTGAGGGGCTTGCCGGGGAAGCAATCAGGGACAATGGCAAACGCAGGCAGAGGGTGGGAGACATCAGCCGGGACAAGCAGGACTTCAGACTTTCAGGCTCCAGGCTTGCACATGGAGACCTGACAATGGGAAGATGTGCTCTGCCACAAGGGTTTGTGATAAAGGATTTTCTTAATTACTATATTGTGCAAGAACCAATATTGTTATACGTAAATTTTCAGTGCTGCAAAAGAAGTAGCACTTGAATATAAATTTCCTCAGCAAGGCAATTTACTTCTATAGAAGGGTGCGGCTCACAGATGGAACGATGGCGAGCGTACACCTGGACAAGGGAGGGCTAGCCCCTACTGCTGTGTTGTTCCCCTATTGACTAGGGTTAGACCACGCAGTCTAAGCTAATTCCGATTGGCTATTTTAAAGAGAGCAGGGGTACAAGCCGGAAATTCAGGGTGGGTAGTTTGGAGGGAAGGACAGTTACAGGATAGGTCAGAGCAAGACCAGAGGTGACTCAGGTCAAAGCAGGTGACCAGGACAGGTGACTGGAGCGGGAGACTGGATGAGTCAGGACAGAGTAGGGGACTGGAGAAATAGCTGTGAACCGATTAGAAATGGTGGAAAAGGTTGTTTACTGAAACTGCAAGGATATTAAACCTTAACATAGAGAATTAAAGAATAAGAGAGCTGAACATACTGACATACTGATTCTTTGAGGAGAAACTTGGAGTTCACTATATCTAACAATATTATTACCTTTCAAGCAACTTTAGGAATGCTTCTGTTCTCAAGACATTGAGATATCAGGACACTGCTAAGCCTGGATCTGGTTAGTAAACATTATCGATCTGTTCCTTTAACCATAAACATCCAGAGGCTAGGAATGCCTCACTTTCTGGGAATGCAGCCCAGTAAGTCCCAGCCTCATTTTCCTAGCCCTTGGTCAAGATGAAATTGCTATGATTCTAATGCCTATGACACAATCTCCATCTCCCTGGCTCAAGTGATCCTCCTTCCTCAGCCTCCTGAGTAGCTGGGACTACAGGCGTGTGCCACCACGCCCGGCTGATTTTTTTTTTTTTTAAGACAGAGTCTTACTCTGTTGCCTAGGCTGGAGTGCAGTGGCACAATCTTGGCTTACTGCAACCTCTGTCTCCCAGGTTCAAGCCATCCTCCTGCCTCAGCCCTGCTAGGAGCTAGGATTACAGGCATGTGCCACCATGTCAGGATATATACTTTTTTTTAGAGGGAGTCTTGCTCTGTCGCCCAGGCTGGATGCAGTGGCAAAATCACGGCTCACTCCTCCGCCTCTTGAGTTCAAGTGATTCTCATGCCTCAGCCTCCCGAGTAGCTGGGATCACAGATGCCTGCCACCATGCCTGGCTAAGTTTTGTATTTTTAGTAGAGACAAGGTTTCATCATGTTGGCCAGGCTAGTCTAAAACTCCTGACCTCAGGTGATCTGCCCGCCTCAGTGTCCCAAAGTGCTGGGATTACAGGCATGAGCCACGGTACCTGGTCGATTTTTTTTTTTTTTGAGATGGAGTTTTGCTCTTTTTTGCCCAGGCTGTAATGCAATGGCATGATCTCAGCTCACCGCAACCTCCGCCTCCCAGGTTCAAGCAATTCTCTGCCTCAGCCTCCTGAGTAGCTGGGATTACAGGCACGCACCACCGCACCCAGCTATTTTTTTTATTTTTAGTAGAGATGGAGTTTCTCCATGTTGGTCAGGCTGGTCTCGAACTCCCGACCTCAGGTGATCCACCCCCCTCAGCTTCCCAAAGTCCTGGGATTACAGGCGTGAGCCACCATGCACAGCTTTTTTCTTTTTTAATTTTTAGTAGAGACGAGGTTTTGCCATATTGCCCAGGTTGGTCTTGAACTCCTGGGCTCAAACGATCTACCCACCTCAGGCTCCCAAAGTGCTGGGACTACAGGCATGAACCATCGCACCCAGCTTGGGCATAAGTCTTCTTCGAGGGGATTTTTTTCTTCTAATTCTGGCCTCAGCCTACATAAAAAAATGTAACTAAATTAGACTCCACTTGCTCACTTGTATTCAAATGACCCTGTGCCCATAGCAACTTCTCCAAGATTTAGTTTCCTCATCTGAAAAATGTGCGCAGTAATAGTACCTGCCTCACACAGTTTTGTGTTAGAGAAATGTAGGTAGGACACTCTGGGCACTTGGCCTTGGTTGCCCGCTTCCTTCTGGGTGTACTGGTGAAGTGCTCAGTCCTGGGAGCCAAGCTGTCTGGGTTCCAATCCGAGCTGCACCACTGTGTGGCTTGAAACAAGTTATTTTCTCCCTGTCTCCGTTTTATCATCTGACAGAAGGGGATTATTGTGGTGTCTACTCCATTTTTAAAAAATGATTTTTGACTCTTATTTCCTTCTCCAAGTTGTTGGTATAGACATATCTGCTTCAGGAGGTTGTGAGGTTTCAGTAAGTTATACATTAGTCATTAGAAGAGTGCCCAGCATATAGTAAGTCCTTAGTAGGCATTACCATTGTTTATCATTATTTCCTTTCTCCTTTCTGACAATCAGAAGATAGTGATTGTGCCCCCTCCCCCAACATGCACAATATTCTCTTCTTTCCTTTTTCAAGAGTTGCACATAGGCTGTCTCCACCCAGGTGGAGGAATACACTCCAGGGTGTCCATGGGCATCTTCACAGCTTGGCCCCAAAGCTGATCCTGTCCTCTGGGTGTGGCCTGATTCATCCAAGAGGAGCAGTGACAGTGGGAGTGAAGATTGATTGGACTGGTGTGTTGGTGTTTTGAGTAACGTTGGTGGTGATGATGGCAATGGCAATGGAGATGAGGTTGGTGATATCGATCCTGGTGAAGACAGTGGTAGTGGTGATGATGTTAGAGGCAGTGATAATGATGGTGGTGGTTCTGATTGTCATCATGGTGGTGGTGATTCTGAAGGTTTGAGTGACGGTGATAATGATGATTGTACTGCTGGTCGTGATCATGACAGAGGCAATAATAACAATCCTCATATCGTGATGATAATGTCATGACTAAATTTGTCATTTAGTCTCAGTGATATGGGTCATGTGAGTGAGGGTGATATTTAAGGTGATGGAGTAGAAATGATGACGATTATGGCGGTGATTTTCATGAAAATGTTGGTGGTTATTATGATGTTAATAACGGTCGTGACAACTAACCCATGCGGACACTGGTAATAGTGGTTACAAAGTTTAATGACAAGAATTTTATTCATTCTTTCAAAACCATTTGTGTGGCATTGTAGGCCTCAGTTGCTTCTGATGAGATGACATGGCTCTCATCCTCTCCTTTCCAAGACCTCTCCTCCCCAGCCCACAGCCATCTCTGAGTGGGATCCCTGGCCTCCAATGGACTGTCCTTGGTTTTGTGTCTCCTTTAGGGCAAGGACTCTCCCACTGAGCAGAGGCCTGGAGAGTCCACGAAGAAGCAGGATGGCCCAGTCCAAATTGCACCAAACCTGACTGTGATCCAGTTCATCAAAGGTAAGTCAGCTCAGACCAGGATATGGGGAGCCAGGGCCAGAGCAGCCCTTGATGCTATACGGGATCCAGTCCTTCCTGCCTTTTATGATTCATCTTCTCCGCCTGCAGACCCCTCATGAGCACCATCTACTCCATGTGAGTCTTTGCACATGTGATTCTCTCTGCCTGAACCATCATTTTTTACTGCTGTCAAAACCTTCCCTATGGGCCAGGCATGGCGACTCACACCTGTAATCCCAGCACTCTGGGAGGCCAGATCACTTGAGATCAGGAGTTTGAGACCAGACTGGCCAACATGGTTAAACCCCATTTCTACTAAAAATACAAAAATTAGCCAGGCATGGTGGTGGGCACCTGTAGTCCCAGCTACTTGGGAGGCTGAGGCAGAAGAATCACTTGAACCGGGGAGACAGAGGTTGCAGTGAGCCGAGGTGGTGCCACTGCACTCCAGCCTGGCAGCAGAGTGAGACTCCATCTCAAACAGAACAAAACAAAACAAAACAAACAACAACAAAAACTTTCCCTATCCCTCTAGAACCGGCTCAAAAGCCACTACTTTCTCCACATGTCCAGCTCTCCCACCCAGCAAGGCTATTTCTCTTCCTCTTTGGCTCTCAGAACCCTCAGGGGTTCTTGATCAGTTCAGATCTGAGCCTGTGCTCCTGAAGATCAGGCCCGTGCTGACTCATCTGTGACCCTTCCTCTCCTCCCACCCGCCACTGAACCTGCAAATGGGAGACCATCAGGAAACTGTCAAATTCCCAGGCAGTGTGGCATGGGCGGAGAGAGCTCTGGGCTAAAATCCAGAACTTGGGCTTTTGTCCTTGATCCCACTCTTTTCTGGGCCTCCGTTTCCCCATCTACATAGTGAGGAGTAGACTCAGTGATCTAAGGTCTGTGAGGCCATGATCCCAAGACTATGAACTCAGTCTTTGAGTAACCAGAGTATACATTATGACCAGGCCATTCTTTCTCAAGATTACGATCCCATAAGTATTGATTGGGTGCCAGCCGTGTGCTCAGCTCTTACAGAGCCCTGGAGGGCATGTCAGAGGACTTGGATTTGAGTCCTGTGCCTAACAGTGACCAGTGTGCAACCTTAAAGAAGTTAGTTTCCTTTTCTAAATTGAGTTTCCTCATCTGGAAGATTGGATCAATAATCCTTGCTCTGCCTCTCTCAAGGGCTATTATGAGAATCAAATGAGATGAAGAATGGAAAGCTTCTTTATGCTATTAAAAAAAACTGTACTCATATATAAGGTACAATTATTTCAGTTATTGCTGTTGGTCTATTGTTGTTCTGACCATGCTCTAGGATAGTAAATTGAGGTGCCTATGGTTTAGGAGGGTAATATCCAGAGGGGTTGCTTCATTCCTTACTGAGGATTTCTGCAGCAGGAAGGAATTAAGCTGTTCTTGGGAAGAGATTCCTAAGATTTGATGTTGGGGCAGGACATGGTGGCTCACACCTGTAATCCCAACACTGTGGGAGACCAAGGCAGGAGGACCTCTTGAGCCCAGGAGTTTGAGACCAACCTGGACAACATAGGGAGACCCTGCCTCTTCAAATAAAAAAGCAACAATTAAAGAATAGCGGGGTTGGTGGTGCACGCCTGTGGTCCCAGCTACTGGGGAGGCTGAGGTGGGAGGATTGCTTGAGCCTGGGAGTTCGAGGCTGCAATGAGCTCTGATCTTACCACTGTGCTCCAGTCTGGGTGACTGAGAGAAACCCTTTCTGAAATTTAAAAAAAAAAAAAAAAAAGACTTGGTATTGGGATATCAGTAATCTAGCCCCCAGTTTTCTTTGCACAGGGCTGGGCCCAGAGGCAGGGGTTGGAACTCCTTAACCTTAGGTCACCCCCAGATGATGCTATTCGGCCCAGCGCTCTGCACTGCTGAATTGCTTATTAATCACTGTTTTGGCTTCTGCCAGGAGGGAAGCTGGGGCCAGTTGCAGGGATTGGAACCTAGAGTGAGTGTTCTAGGCCAGATTTTCTCTGGTGGTTTCAGCTTCTACATGATCCAGAGGGCCCTGTGGCCGGTGAGCAAAGTTGGCTTCTGCTGAGCTCCAGGGGCCAGTCTGACTCTAGGGCCTGGTCTTGACCACCTGGGACCATGGGAAAGGCCAAGGGAGGAGGAAGCATGGTCCTTCAGATGGAGGAGCTGTACGCTCTTGGGGAAAGATAATCCCTGAGCTAGGAAAGGTCCCTGTCAGATGGGGGAGACATAGTCTCTGAGCTGGGGGAAGCCCCTATCAAATGGGAGAGATATAGTATCTCTGATGGAGGATACATAGTCCCTGAATGGAGCGAGACCCTGCCTTGTCTGATGGAAGAGACCTGATGGAGAAGGCCCTTGTCTGATGATGGAGACATAGTCCTTGAACTAGAGGAGGTTCCTGTCTAATGGGGGAGACGTTGCCCTTGAGTTAAGGGAAGCCCCTAACTAACTGGAAGAAGCATAGTCCCTAGACTGAGGGAGAACCCGTCCTATTTGAGAGAGGATGCCTGACCTCTAGCTGGGTGAGGCTCCTGGCTGTGAGGAAGACAGAGTCATTGACCTGAGGGGGGCCCTGGCTTGTCTGCTGGGGGAGACACTGTGCTATGCTAAGGGAATCCCTGTCTCCTGGGAAACATCTGCCTCAGAGCTGGAGATGGGCCCTGGAATTCCCCTGCAGGTAGCCCTATCTAAGAGAAAGGCATAGCCTCTGCCCTCCAGGAATTTTCCATCTATTCTGGAGCCAGGCTGTGGATGCTGAGGAGAGATGGGGGATGGGTATAAAACACACTGCAGTGATCAGTGCAGGAGAATGGGCTGGAAGCACTCCATGAGATGGGGCCCTTTGGAGTCAGGCAGCCAAAGAGGCACAGGAATGGGGGAGGATGGACCTTGTTCTGGGAGTCTGGAGACCCCAGGAAACTCCTGGCCTTACACTGGCCTCTCTGGATGAACTTGGGCGAGTCCCTGCCCATCTCTGGACTCTACCATGCAGTAAGGGCACCTGTACAACCTGGGCCATGCCAGATTGAAATTCATGGCTCAATACAGGGCCTCAGATGCCCTGGCAGAGCAGCTCATGGCAAGAAGGCTAAGCATCTACCTGGGGTCAGGGTGAGCCTTGCAGCTCCTCAGTCAGGCTGGTTGAATGCATAGTAGGCAGAAAGAAACCAGGGACCAGGAGGCAGGCCTGGCATATAAAAGGGGGAATTCCACAGCCCCCACTCACCCTGCCTGAACTGTTTGTCTTTATTTTCTGGCTTCCAAGGAAACAGATCTTAGCCTGGCCCAGGGGGCTAGGGAAGCAGCTGGTTTGGGCATGCTCTGAGGACAGAGCAGCAATCTTCCCATGACAGATGCCCTGGTCCTGCTGCTGCAGGAACAGAAGGAACCCCTCACCTGGCCCAGAGAACCCCCGTGGCCCCACCAGCCTGGCCTGGGAAGTGTTTTGCTCCTCTTCCTCCATATCTTATCTTTGACTTCAGTCTTGCCTACCGGCAGAAACACATATTAGTGGGAAGAGGATTTCACGTGTCTGAACAGAAAGTGGCCTTGACACTTTCACCTGGGCTGCCCCTACCAATGAGCATTACCTGGCTGCTAGAGCCCAGAGAGGAAAGGACTTACCCACCCTTTCGTGCCCTTCAATTTAGCAGACTTGCAATGGGGGCAACCTGTGAATTAGGCACCATTTTAGGAGCTAGCAGGAGACTGGGGATGTCATTATTGCCAGAACAGTCACTTTTTTTCCTATCTCCAAGCATTTGCTCCTCCTGTGCCCCTACTCAATTCCTTTTCCTCCTCGCTTTACCTCACCAGATCCCCCCATTCTTTAGGCCCTAGCTCTGTCCTACCTCCAGGAAGCCTTCCAGCACCAAGCTTGAGGGAGGTCTTTGATTTGTATCAAATCTCTGGAGGTCTTTGATTCTGCCCCAGACATACTGACAATTTAATCACATATTAGCCCATATGTCCATTCATTACTTTCTTCATTCCACAAATTCATGAATTCAAGTGCCTCCTATGTCCCAGGCTCTGGAGATTCAGCAATGAACACAACAAACAAAACCCCTTGATCTTTTAAAGGCAACTTACATTCTGGTAGGGTGACAATAAAACAGCCAGATGAGTGAAAGGTATAATACATTGGGTAGAGGGCTGTGGAGAAACACAAGCTAGGGATGGGGAGACCAGGGCAGGGGATTGAGGCCTGTGTTGGGGATGCAAGAGAGGATGAAGGCCTGGGTGGCTTGGAAAAAGCTGTAGCAGGACAGGATGAAAAGAACTGGGCTGGACGGGGGAGAGAAATGAATACGTAGAATAGAAAAAATGAAATGACATGGGATGGAATGGATGAAGCAGAATCAAATAGGATGGCATGGACCCAAACTATATAGAATAAAATAGAATTGAATGGGAGAAAAAAAACACATATAGAATAAGATACAGTCTAACTCAATGGAACAGAACGAAACAGAATTTCAAAAATAAACTAGAATAAGGGCCAGGCATCGTGGCTCACATCTGTAATCCCAGCACTTTGGGGGGACAAGTTGGCAAGATCACTTGAGGCCTAGGGTTCAAGATCAGCTTGGCCAACTTGGCAACACCCATCTCTACTAAAAAACAAAAATTAGCCATGCGTGGTGGTGCATGCCTGTAATCCCAGCTACTCAGGAGGCTGAGGCACAAGAATTGCTTGAATCCAGGAGGTGGTGGTTGTAGTGAGCTGAGATTGCACCACTGCGCTCCAGCCTGGGCAACAGAGTGACATTCTGTCTCAAAAGAAAAAAAGAAAGAAAAGAAAAAGAAAAAGGACTAGAATAAATGGAATGGAGTCAAGTGGGATAAAATTGACTGCAATAGAATTAAGAGGAATGGAATTGGTTGGAAGGAATGGAACCACTTGAACCGAGCAGGGCAGGAGGGCAGTCTCCGCTGGACGGCTTGGCTGCCCTACCTGCTCTGACCTCCTCTGCACTCACCCCCACAGTCTTCCCCAAGGTGCTGCTACAGAACCTACGCCACCCCACCTTCCTGCTGGTTGTCCTGTCCCAAGTGTGTTTGTCATCTATGGCTGCGGGCATGGCCACCTTCCTGCCTAAGTTCCTGGAGCGCCAGTTTTTTATCACAGCCTCCTATGCCAACCTGCTCATCGGCTGCCTCTCCTTCCCTTCGATCATCATGGGCATTGTGGTGGGTGGTGTCCTGGTCAAGCGCCTCCACCTGGGCCCCGTGGGCTGCAGTGTCCTGTGCCTGCTGGGGATGCTGCTGTGTCTCTTCTTCAGCCTGCCGCTCTTCTTCATCGGCTGCCCCAGCCACCAGATTGCAGGCATCACCCACCAGCCCGGGTGAGTGTGTGTGTGGACATGGGAAGGCCAGCCTGGGAGGGCGGGACAGGGAGGAAGGGGGCCCTGGGAAGAGGCCAGGCCAGAGGGGCGCTCCCTGCCTCCAATCTTGCCCCCACCACCTCCACTTAACAGCCTTTTAGAGATTCCAGTCAAACAGTGGGGTGCTCCAGAAGGCTCTAGGGAAGGTGTCAGGCACCACTGGAAGGGGCATTCATGGGACTTTAGGGGCAGAAACTCTCAAGCCCGGGGAGGCGTGGAGGCTGAGACAGGGCAGAATCCATAGGAAGGCATCTCCAGAGTGACCAAGCCCTGTGGGTGCAGCAGAGGTGGGGCAGAGGCCTCATTACAGGAGGCAGGACCAGCTTAGCCGGAGGAGCATGCTCTCCGTCCCAGGACAAGAGGGGGTGAGAGGGTGAGCAAGGGGCTGGATGGCCCCTATCTGGGAGGCTGCACTGGGGACTCAGGCAGGGAAAAGATTGGGCTGCAGACCTCTGACATTCTGTGTTTTAGAGCTTGGGAGCTGAAATTCTGTTTCTCCATGGCTCTAAAATTACAGAGTTATTTTTCCACATCTGCGAGGCAGCACCTGCCTCCTCCGCCTTCCGGGGGAAGGCTCTTGACGCCTACCTCTCATTCTCCCTCACTCCTTTACCCTTGGGAGCCTTCTTGGAGAGGAGGTTGGAAGTTACGTTCCTGCTTCTTCTCCAGAATGATTTCATTTTTCCTGGAAACTGCTCCAGGCTTAGGTTGGCCCAAAAACTCAGCTAGACTTTCCCAACTTTCTCTGTCTCCACCTCTCCTTCTTGGCATCTTCTGCCTTCACCCAGGTGCTAGCTTTCCTCACGGGGTGGCAGGGGTTGGTTCCTCCTGCAGCGCTGTCAGGGGCTCAGCTCAGGGCCAGGGAGCACCCAGCCCCTCCCCGTCTGTCCCAGGTCCCACCACGTCCCACCCTCGCTGGCCTCTCCCCCGTCCCCCCTCCCTTCTCCTCCCCATTTCATTCTCTGCCTCTGTTTTCCCAAATAGGGAGGCAACTCCACTCTCTAGACTGGGGCCTCCTGTGTGCAGAGCCCTGTTCTAGGCATGGCAGCGGGGACTTTAGCCACGTCCTCAGGAAGCCCCTGATGTGAGGAGGGAGCCAAGTCCTCAATCAAATGATTTTGAGAGTAAAACGTAAATGGATATTTTACCACAATTTTTAAAACAGTACATGGGAGAAAAAGTCAACTCATCCCATAGGCCCATCTCTCTTTTCTCCCTTTTACACCTTAGCTTTGACATCTCATGTCACCTGTGTTCTCATTGAAACTCTCGCAGTTTATTCACTAAGCTGTGGGTTCTGATTCACTGAGGAGGCCATTTGGGACTGACTGAGCTAGGCAAGAAGAACTCTCCATATCCCTGTACAGCCACAGGTACCAACAGCTGCAAGAAGTGAAGGTCTCCCACACGCTGAGCGTCTTCCCATATTGCATCTCAAACCTCCACAGGATCTCTGTAGTGGGTCCTGTTATTAGCCCCATTTCACAGATGAGTACAGTGAGGCTTAGAGGGGTGAAGTCACCCCACAACTAGAACAGAGTAGAGCCTGGGTCCAGGACTCTTTCCACAGAAGCAATCAGCTCCACGCGGTCAATGAAAACGAGGGGTGGAGGAAGGGCCCCCTAACTCTTACCTGCACAGCCTTCTAGCTGCTGGCAGAGGGTTCTGGGAAGTGCCTCTCCCTTGGCAGAGTCTCCAGCACTGCCTCCCAATGGGCCTTCAGCTCAGACAGTGCCAGCCTTCCCACTCCCACGCCCACCCCGAGGGAGATGTGCCAAGATGTTATCAGACGCACATCAGCACTGTCTGGCAGAGGAGGATGAGGAAAGATTCTGTGGCTGATGATCTTCCTTCCCACTCAGATGGAGCACCCCTCACCCCAGGGAGGGAGAGGAGCTTACTTTGCCCCATGCCCCACTTCCCCACCCCACACCCTGGCTAGAGACCATCTCTAGCTCTTGCTCACCCTCTTTTCCATGAAACTGAGATTTCACTAAGATCCAGTTCGAGCCTCTCCGACCAGCCTGGGCCTCTGCCCTACACCTGCCCCAAGCCCAAGACAGAAACCTCCAGCTTCTGCCTCTGGCCTCCTCCGTAGCCTGGCCACCAGACTCCTGCGTGACCCTAAATGAGGCACAGCCTCTCTGGGCCTCTGTCTTCCTGCCAACAGAGAGAGACAGAAACCTTCCTGGCAGGTTTGCTGTGCTCCCCTCTAGCGTGAAGCCAGTTGGCACTCTCAGTCCCAGGGGCCACCTCCCTGCCCTCCTCCCAGGGTGACCTCGCTTTCAAACTCAGCCTTCCTCTGACCTCCTGCCCCTGCCCACCTTCACCTTGCCCTGGGCCACCCTGGGGATTTGGGAGCAGACCCTCAGGAGTGAGGCAGGTGGGACTAAAATGTGCCCTAACACAGTGAACAGGGTGGTGGGAGTGAGACTGCAGGATGGCCATGATAGGCAGAGAAACTGAGGCCCCGAGAGGCAGGGCACAGGTGGTCAGGTCTCCTGATCAGGTCCCACACTTACAGCTCTAATTTTCTGAGAAAGGAAGCAATCATTGATTTTCAGGGAAAGGAAGCTCATCGAGGGAAAGATACTCTTCATTTGACACTAACTCCTGGGAGGAATTTATCTTGTATACCCTGAAGAAGGGTCACTGAGGTGCAGAAATGCTTGAAGAAGCTTAAAGACTTGTAGGATCTAGGTGGCCTGTCTCTCTATTTACACACCTTCATTGCAAGGAGCTCACTATTGTACCATCATGGGGCAGCCCTGATGGTAAAAAGCCTCTGTGTGGAGCTAAAATCTCTGGCCATTGCTCTTGGCTAAGGAAGCCCCAGCTAGTGGTCTAAGCAGGGGAAGCCAGGCCAACCCTACAGGCCTTCTCTCCCACCAGTGCCCAGCCTGGGCTGGAACTGTTTCCAGGCTGCATGGAGGCCTGCTCCTGCCAATCGGATGGCTTTAATCCTGTCTGTGACCCCAGCGCTCGTGTGGAATACATCACACCTTGCCACGCAGGCTGCTCAAGTCGGGTGGTCCAGGATGCTCTGGACAAAAGCCAGGTGAGTCAGGCCTCTGGTGGCAACCGCTGCCCCTCAGGGCTCTGTCTGCCCTGTCTCTGCGGGCCTGCCATACTCCACCTCAGCATGCTGTCACTTTCTTCTCTCTTCTCTCTTCTGTCTCTCTCTGTTGGCAGGTGTAGAACATTATTCTCTCAATAAGCTTTCATTGGCAGGGCGTGGTGGCCCACATCTGTAATCCCAGCACTTTGGGAGGCCAAGGCAGGTGAATGACTTGAGGTCAGGAGTTCCAGACCAGCCTGACCAATATGGTGAGACCCCATCTCTACTAAAAATAAAAAAAAATTAGCCAGGCCTGGTGGTCCATGCCTGCAATCCCAGCTCATCAGGAGGCTGAAGCAGGAGAACCACTTGAACCTGGGAGATGGAGGTTGCAGTGAGCCGAGATCGTGCCACGGCACTCCAACCTGGGCAACAAAGTGAAACTCCATCTCGAAAAATAAAAATAAAGCTTTCATTGCCAGCCTGGGCCCAGGACACAGAGGTGATCCATTCTGACTTCCAGATCTCTGTTCCGGGGAGAGGCAAAAGGAAGAACTCCCAGGAATTCCAGACGTGTTGATAGGCCGGACAACTGGTCCCTACAACTACGTACAAAGATGGAAAGACACATCCCACCTGGGCGAGGGTGGGCTCCAGAAGCCTTCATGGAACTAGCGTTTGTGCCAGACCTTCAAGAATGAATGGGGAAACTAGAGCTTGGGACGGAAGGGCTTTCAGGCAGGGGGAATGGCATAAGTGGAGGTCTGGAGGAACACACGTGCACGTGCAAGCAGGCACACACAGTGTTTCTGTTGGAGCAGAAGCATAAGGATTCATGAAGGGAAGGTAGGGCCCAAAGATGGGCCTTGAATGCCAGGCCAAGAGTGGGGACTTTCTGGAGAGCAGTGGGGAGCCATGGATGGGTTTTCAGCAATGGAGTAACAAGGTCAGATCTGTGTTTAATCACACTTGAGGCCATAATGTGGGGCAGGTGAGCAGAGTACAGGATAGGACACAGAAGGCCAGTGAGCATTCATTAAGTCAGTCAGTCAACAAACTTTCACCTGTCTCTTCCTATGTGCCAGGCCCTGTGCTGGGAGCTGATGACTCAGAGCCAGGGGGCCCAGTGGGGAAATGAGGGCAGTGTAATCAGTAGCAGTGCATTCTGAATCTTAGGAAGGCAAAGACCAGCTGGTTCCTCCTCCCCTTTTTCCTCAGTCCCCCAAAGTGACAAACAGGGACAATGTCTGCCTTCTCAGCCCTCCAAGGCTATAGCAAACCTGGGGGACAGGGTGGGAGACGGCAGCATCAGGCTGGTTGTTATGACAACATCTCCCTCTCTCCAGAGTCCTCCCACCTCTCACTCTCCTGCTGGGCATCAGCATCCAAGCCCGAGGCTCCTCCAGGGAGAGACCTGGGCTGCACCAGCTGGTGCAGAAGAACCTGTTGATGGTAGGTAATCCTTCAGAAGCCAGCCAGACATACCTGGGCCTGAGAGCCCTTCCAGAGGCCCTCAGACCTTAGCAGGTGGAGCAGTGAACTCCTGTGGATATGGGTCCCAGTTCAAACCTCTGTTCTGCCTCTAACTGACTGTTACCTTAGGCAAATTATTTAACCAGTGCCTCAGTTTCTTGGTATGTAAAATAGGGGTGATATTATTGATTGCCTACTACGGAGCAGGCGATGTGCTGGACAAATGCTTTACATGGATGAATCCATTAAATAGTAAGAGAAGAGCCACATGACGTTATCCATGAAAGCACACAGCACAATGCCTAGGAAATTTTAAACACTCAGTAATACGCATTCCTATTATGCCCATTGTACAGATGAGAAATGGAGGTCCAGGAAAGGACCAGGCATTGCCCAGAGTCTCAACACCAGGGCTGGGACTAGACAGCAAGGCCCTGGCCTCCCAGCCAGCCCCCTTTTTGGAGCTTCGTGGAGGCTTGGATTTAGGTGCAGTATTTGGAGGAGGGTGTAGCTGAGACCAGGCCAGCACTCAGGAACTGTCATCACACTGGCCTGGAATTATGTCTTGACATGTGTGCCTCCTCGGATTGTGAGCAGCTTGGCTCAGGGATGGGTGGCTCAGCGCCCAGCACAGCTTCTTGGTAACAGCTTATGAGTGCGAGAGCAAATGAGGTAAGATGGGGCTGGTGGAAGACTGCACAGGCGTGTGGCTAAACGCTCTGGGTTCCAGAATGGGGCTCCGAGGCGGCAAAGGGATTGAAGTCATTCATAAGAAAAACTTCCTGCCATAGAATTAGATGAATGTGACTGAAGGGTCAGGAAAAACCCAAGCGAAGTCTCCAGCCTTTGTGTTCATCCTAGCAACCCTCTGCTTCTGAGAAAAGGAGCAGGGGCAGGATGTCTCCCTTCCAGGAAGCTTGCCTTAGCATTTCTCCATTTCTTGTCCCTCCACTGTATCTCCAGCCTGTAGGTGGAGATTCAAGGGCCACTTTTCCTGTGGTGTAAGATGATACGCACTTAGGGGTCATGCACAAGGGTCAGCACAGCCTCATCCTGCACACTGGCTCTGCCGGCTGTTGGAGACCATCTGGTCACCCAAGCCTAAGTGCTCACGTGCTGTCTTTCACCTGCCTTTCTCTGATTCCACCTGCTAAGTAACTTCAAATCCAAACCCTTTTACCTGTCCACCCACAAGCCCACACTCTGTGATGGGCCCCTTGGCCTTCCTCCCCAATCTGGTCCCTCCTCCGTGCACCCCCCAGAACAGACTGTACATCCAGTCTCATCTCTCCCTTGCTTAAAACTCTCCTCAGGCCCCCAGCATCCACCTCGGGGCTTCCCAGCCCTTTTCACGCTGGGAAGTGTCTGCAGCTGCCAGGGCTGGAGGTAAGAGGCGCAGAGGGCTCCAGCTGCCCAGGCCAGGGCGTCAGCCACCTCCAGAGCCACCTTCAGACCAATCCTTGCACGCCGGTCTCCCATCTGAAGCCCTGCGTGGCTGGGGCATGAGTCTAGAAGCTCTGATCTATGGGAAAGTAAAGAAACACTCAGGCTTCATGGCTTGGTCCTCGCTTCTATCGGGTGCTTGTGGGCCCTGGCAGTCCAGATCACTTCTCAGAGTCCTTGGCTGGAGGTTTTCCTGGCTACTTAGGGAGATAGTGCAGGTTGGGATCAAACACTCCAGGGGGCCAGCCCAGGGGCATGGCCAGCCTGGGGATGTTTTCTTGCATTTGGTGTGTAGAGTATGGAGAATGATGCTCTTCTGGGTCCCTCCCTCTTCTTCTCTACTTTCTGCTTCCTTCTCCCTGCCCGTCGCCTCAGCCCAGGCTCAGCTCGACCTGTGCATAGACAGCCCTTGAGCTGCCTGCTCCTCAAGCTGGCCCTGCTCAGCCAACGAGTCAGGATCTCGGGCTCCAGCCAGCTCCACCCCAGCTGGCTGTGGGTCTTGGGCCTCTTACAAGCCTTCCCCGCTGCAAGCCCTTGGCCAGCTGCCTGCCCTTGGAGGCTTTTGAAGTCTCTCCCCCCTCCTCCCATTCCAGGTTTTCTACACCAACTGCAGCTGCGTGGCGGGGGACAACCCTGTGCTGGCGGGATCCTGCGACTCAACCTGCAGCCACCTGGTGGTGCCCTTCCTGCTGCTGGTCAGCCTGGGCTCGGCCCTGGCCTGTTTGACCCACACACCCTCTTTCCTGCTCATCCTAAGGTGAGGCCGGGGGCAGGGCAGGGGCAGTGGATACCAAGAGGTCCTTAACCACAGGCAGCACATGAAATTCCAAGAGGGATTTCAAGGAAGGAGGCCACTTAGGTGTCCCGGCCCCCATGACATGGCCTTAATTGTGTTCATCCCACGGCAACCCACTGAGGCGAGGTTTTTCTCCCCATCTTGCAGCTAAGAAAACTAGGCTCAGAGAAGTTCAAGAGCCAGCCTCTGTCACATAGCAAGTGTTGGGTGGAATAGTACTGGTTCCCTGGCCCAGAGCCCAGGCTCCCACTTGCCCAGGGGAGAGGAGGACACACCTAGGGCCCTGTCCTGGCCTCTGGAGGTGGGGGCATCATACCCACAGTGGATGAGCTGCAGGAGGTGCGTCTCGGAAACCAAACTAGGCCAGTCTGGTGCATGACTCTGAATGCTGCTTCAAGGCTAAGAGTGCTTATTAGGTGCCCGCTGTAGACCCAGCCCTGCTGAGCACTGCCTTTTGGGCCAAGATCTTTGTGGCCCTCACCCTAAGGGTGCCTGCTGGCCCTGAAAAATTGCCACTTGAGTTCAAAGTCAGGATCTCCTAAGGTGGGGGCTGGGATAAGAGGACTGAGTAAGAAAAAAGTTTTTCTTTCCTTTTTCGAAATGGAGTTTTGCTCTGTCACCCAGGCTAGAGTGCAATGGCATAATCTTGGCTTATTGCAACCTCCTCCTTCTGGGTTCAAGTGTTTCTCCTGTCGCAGCCTCTCTAATAGCTGGGATCACAGGTACCCACTAACACACCCAGCTAATTGTATTTTTAGTAGAGATGGGGTTTCACCATGTTGGCCAGGCTGGTCTTGAACTCCTGACCTCAGTAATCCACCTACCTCAGCCTCCCAAAGTACTGGGATTACAGGTGTGAGCCACCACGCCTGGCTAGGTGGAACAGTTTTTCTATTTCTGACACTCAATAATCAACACAGAAAACTTCTGCAACCAGAAGTGTGAGGGTAGTGAGGGTATTTTCCCACACACCAAGCATGTGATCAGTTGTGCAGGGGACCCCAACGAGTGTCCTCCAATTCTACTCTGACACGATCTACCTGGAGACAGCGTCAGATCCCATAGGCTAAGCGCTCAGTTCCATGACTGACCTTCCTCTCCCCATGCCAACCACAAGCCCCAGGTTGTTTTCCAGTGCTTCTGACCCACCAGCCATACTCTGGGATTTCCACAGCCCCATCTTTGAGTTTGCTTTATTTGCTAGAGTGGCTCACAGAGCTCAGGAAAACATCTACTTAATGTTTATCAGTTTATATAAAAGATATTACAAACAATACAGATGAAGTGATGCACAGGGCGAGGTATGGGGGAAGAGCTTTCATGCCTTCCCTGGCTGCACCCTGCAGGAACCTCCACATGTTCAGCTATCTGGAAGCTCTCCAAAGCTTCATTATATAGGTATGATTGATTAAATCACTGGACATTGGCATCACCTTAACCTTCAACCCCTCCCCCTTTCCTGGAGGTTGGGGCTGAAAGTCCCAACCCTCTAATCCTGTCTTGGTTCTTCTGGTGACCAAGCCCCAACCTGAAGCTACCTAGGGGCTGTCCGCCATCAGTCGACACATTAGCAGACAAAAAGACACTTCCTGCTTTGAAGAGTCCAAGAATTTTAGGAGCGTATGCCAGAGACCAAATACATATCTCACAATATCACAGGGACCTCAGAGCAAGATAATTTCCATTTTCCTTCTTCTGGGGTTATTTTATTCACTATCTACTTTCTAGGAAATTAGAAGGGAAATGGAGCCCCTCGCAAATACCAGAAGACGTGTAGCTCTACAACACGAGCTGGTCTGGGAGGGAAAGTAGAGGAATCAGATGCCCAACAGGCAGCCTGGCTAAAAGGAGTTGGGAACACAGGCTCCGGGCTGTGTGGATGCTGGCCCTGACCCCCGTCAGCCATGGGATCCTGGCCAAGTTATTAATCTAAGTGTCAGTCTCCTTATCTGTAAAATGGGGCTAATGTATACCTAGCTCATAGGAGTGATGTGTGGTTGCAGGGCAGAATTACTGAGACTGTAGTAAGCACTCCATACATGCCGGCCACTGGTGTTATCTGGTAGGAGCCAGAGGATTGCAGGCTGTGGCGTTAGAGTGGTTGGGGATGCTGGGGACGTGTCTGGCTGTCCAAGGTCCAGGTCTTGCCAACTGTAGGAGCAAGGGGATAATTTGATGGGACCAGTGAGTGGAGGAAGAGGAGTGATGTCTGTGACCAGAAACATACAGAGGGCAGCACAGGACCCTGATGGTTAGTGGGTGTATTGTCTTGCACACGGGACCAGGATCCATAGGTTGAAAAGGGCTGGCATAAGGCCCTGAGCCCCCCAGGCTAGATCTTCAGGTGGGAGGGAGGCTGGCGCTGGGTGGTGGGAGAGAAGGGCATGATGAGACCCCTTCAACGTTGATGCATGGCCCTTGGGGGTGGAACCCCTCCAACCTCATGTTGCTCATGCCTCTGCTTGTTAGGGGAGTGAAGAAAGAAGACAAGACTTTGGCCGTGGGCATCCAGTTCATGTTCCTGAGAATTTTGGGTAAAGATCTTGCTTGGGACCATGGTGGTGGTGATGGAATCCAGAGGCCCACTGTGTGCCAGGCCTGGGGCACAGGCATAAGTGGAACTCAATCCCTGATCTAAGGGCTCATAAACCCATGGGGTGACAGACCTGGCCCAGCTCTCCTAGAGCAGGGCGTGCAGGCAGAAGCTAGCCAGCCCGTCAGGAAGCCACCTCAGATGCAGGGGTGGGGCAGGCTTGAGGGCCAGAGAGCCAAGAGATCCCAGTAACCCAGAGCCCCTGAGGGGTTGTACATGCCAGGGAGGGGGTAGGGCAGGATGGTTGACCTTCATTGCCCCTGAGCACTGCCTCCCTCAGCCTGGATGCCCAGCCCCGTGATCCATGGCAGTGCCATCGACACCACCTGTGTGCACTGGGCCCTGAGCTGTGGGCATCGAGCTGTCTGTCGCTACTACAATAATGACCTGCTCCGAAACCGGTGAGACCTGGGCTGGCGGCTGTGGGAAGGGTGCTGGAAATACTCTCAGAGTCCCAGGCAGGATACCAGCAGGGAGGGGAGGTTTCATTTGAGTCTACTTGCTAGCTGACATGCACTATTATCTATTCAGTGCTGAGCTCACCAGCCCTTCAGGCTGGACACTGCCTTCCCCTTTTGTAGGTGAGGCGAGCGAGAGTGAAAGCAAGTAGCTCAGGGTCACGCAGCTAATAACTGGCAGAGCTGGGCCTTGACCACAGAGTCTACGCAAGAACGTGGGGAGAAACAGAGGAGGTGCCATGATGTGAGAGGGACTTGGGGTGAAAGGCTGGGGAGAAAGGCCTGTCTAGGACACAGGAGGCCTGTGTTGCAGGCCCAGCTCTGTCTCCCTCATCATGGGACTTGTTTTCTCTGGGGCTCAGTCTTCCCACCTGTGCAATGGGGAACTCAAAGGAACTTCCCATCTGTACAATGGGGAACTCTGTACAGAGGTGGCTGGCCTGGGATGGATGTGGAGAGGTCTTGCTAGCAGGGCTGGGGGCAGGGAGCTGGTCACTTCCAGCTCTGAGGGGGTGAGGAGAGCATAGTTCCTGTGGGCTGGGACTGTCCACGGCGGGGGCAGGGAGGGGGTGCTTCCTAGAAGAGGAAAAGTCGAACAAGGGTCTTGATAGTTAAACAGGGGAGAAGGAATCCTTTTGTTCTTGTGGCAGGTGGGGCAATGCAAAATTGTACTTGTCAGGCCCCCTGAACCCTTAGACAGGCTCGGAGAGAGGCAGGGCCAGCCCAGGCCACATAGCAGAATCCAGGACAGGACGGTGAAGATGCCCAGGCCTCTGCTCCCACCCAGGGCTCCTCGGCAGAGCCTCTCCCCCTCCTCCAGGGAAGAGCCCCAGCAGAGGTCACTGTCTCCCTGAGGCCTCAGTGTCTCTGATTTCACAATGAGGGATGGCTGCTGACGTCCATGCCCTGGCCTGGCAGCTCTTGAGTTCAAGGGTCCCCATTCTTTCCCCAGGTTCATCGGCCTCCAGTTCTTCTACAAAATAGGTTCCATGATCTGCTTTGCCTTAGTTTTGGCTGTCCTGAGGCAGCAGACCAAGGAGGCAAGGACCAAGGAGAGCAGATCCATTCCTGGCCTGGAGCAGCAACTGCTAGTGTCAGAGCCGGGGAAGAAGTCGGAGGACTCCCGAGTGTGAGCTGTCCTGCGGCCCCACCTGGCCAAGAGCGGCAGCCACAGCAGTACCTCCTCTGGGCCCTTTGCCAAAGATTGGATGTCAAGAGCTCTATGTTCCATTCTGGCTCCTCCACTAAATTGCTGTGTGACTATGGGCAAGGCACTGATCCTCTCTGAGCCTTTGCTTGCTAGTCTGAACCAAAGAGTTGTTTGGGGTTTGCTGTGTTGGGCATCTTTGAAGCAAGAGGTTCTTCCTCTTTCTTCCCCTAGTCAGCCAGGTCCAGGTTTTCCTGGGTGGAAGGACTGCATACCTTTCCCTGGGGCCTAGGAGAGCGAAGTGGGCCGTAGTAGGCCAGGCTGCCCTCCATGCTGGGCCCTAGCCCAGGTCTACACTCGCCTGGATCACCTTCTTTGAGCCTCAGCCTCAGTGGGAATGGACTTGCCAGCCTTCAGGCTCATCCAGCTGTGACCATCTGTGCGGCTAGGGTACATTCAGGTCTCCTTCCCAACTTCAGCAGCCTTTAAGAAGTGGCCCTTTGGCGCCCCCTGGAGGCAGAGCACTGAGCCGGACTCTGGATAGACCCCCCACAGGGAGGAAGGAGCTGGCCTTAGGCGCAAACACCCAGACTTGGCAGGGTCTTCAGGAGGCCTGTGGTGGGGCCTCAGAAAGCCTTAGCTGAAGCGGGAAGACTCACTCTCCATCTAAGGAAGTTCTAGCCCTTGCCGTCGAAAAGCCACGGTTGAGGTGTGAGGCCCAGCACCTGTCTTAGGGGCCCTGGGTGGGCAAGTCTGGGCCCTGGAGTAGGGAGGGAGACTCAGGCTCACACTTGGGTATTTTCTAATTTCAGAAAAACACACACTCAGTGTGCACTCAGTGATCCCTACACATTGCCAAGATTTCATATATGTGACCAGGGGCCACCAAAGTCTTCTGCGACCTTTGTGAATAGGATTCTAATTTCTCTGTTTCCTCCTGGGTGCCTAGGTCTGTGTCACCTGGGGCTGCATGAATAATGTCTAGTTCTGTGACACTGTATTTTCGGGGGTGGCACCTGGTTCTCCAGATGCCTGGGCTGGCGTCATGCCCAGGACTATAGTGCTGGGAGCAGTAAAGCTCAGCTCTGTGTAGTAAGTGATGCTATGGCTTGCTTGGATCTGATGTTCCAAACCTTTTCTACATCAGGCCTTGTTTTGTTTTATGGCTAGTCGTATCTGGCCTGGTTATTTCCCTGCGGGGAGGAGAGAGTTCGCTGATCTGCTCCCAGCCCAACCTATTGTCACTATACACCCCACCTGGCTGGGACCTGCTGCTGGGGAGCAGCAGACAGGGAGCCACCAGCAGTGTGGCTTCCTGGCCCTGTGCTGGGGACTGGGGAGAAGCTGGGGTCACATGCAGCTCTTGCCTTCTGAGAAGCTCTCAGTGCTTGGACTTTGAGACTTTCCCATGTGATAAAATAAAAAGGGTAAATTAGTTCCATTTGTAAAAGGGTTACTCTCATACTCCTTATGTACAGAAATCACATGAACAATAAAGGTTCCATAATGCATAAAAAATAAAATAAAAAGGAAAGGTACAGAAGTTCCAATTCCCTTTTTATTTTGCTGGTTGGTATCTGTAAATGTTTAAAAAATATCTGATTCTGTATGTATCAATGTCAAGAATTTCAGTCTCCTACAACAATATGAGGCTTTTAGGATGCTTATATTCCTTCCTCCTCTATGAACACATAGAGCATTTTCCCAGGTTTTACAAGGGAAAAAAAATCCAGAATTATAGATACAACTTATTATTAAATTTGTTTTTGCATAATGTCTCTTCTATTACAAAAATTCTTTCTTTGTAAACTGCATTAGAGGCTTGCAACGACCACATCTTCTCCATTTACTTAGATTTAAGTTTTACTGGACTCATTGCTCACCATTATTGCTTGTATATTACATCTTTTCCTGTCTTTATATTCTGGTCTAATTTCTGTTTGACTGAGTGACTTCTTCTACTAATGATTTCAAAACTGGAATAAGGTCACGAGGATTTCTGAATCCTCACCTGTTCAAATTGTCATTCACATTTTACAGAAGAGAAAACGGACTCAGAATGCGCAAGTGACTTCCCCAGGATCACACAGAAAATAAATGATGGAGTCAAGATTGGATGGAGACCTTGTGGGAACTGAAGGTTTTATAATTTGAGGAGCCCTCTTTAAGAAAAATATACAAAACTGTGACTATAAAATTAGGTACAAAGTACCTATATTTACCTATAATATAATGAGAAAAGAAATCAAAACAGATACATCACACAGTCCCTCAAAAATGCATAATACTTTTATTAACTGGCCTACATTACCTGCAAAACACATTTTCTCCTCTGATGATTAGAAGAGTTTTCCACAGACTTATCTTCTGGCTCTGTACATTTCAAACCTGGTTTCTCCTGTTTCTCCTCTACAGCCCATATACTTCCTGGGCTGGGTGCCATGAAACACATTTGTATCATGAAATGACCTCTGCATATGGCACCTTAATATCACAATGCCAAGTGAGTTGGGCAGTGGGTAGAATTCCTAGAAGCTATTCTTTACACAAAGATGACTAGCAATGATGTATCTATACATAGAGAACCACATAGATATTAATATATCCTCTGTTTCAGAGAACCCCGTAAATATATCCAAATGAACCCAAATCAAATCAGCCCCCCACTCGACTTCCCCTTGGTCAGATCCCAGAAGTGCCCACGGCCACTCCAAAGACTTCATATAAAGGAAAATTGAAACACAAGGGAAGTTGGAATGGAAGGAAAATAATAATCTTGATTGTGTTTAAAGTATCTTACCTTTGCCAATTTTACAAAACTACGACAACATGAACACATTGCTGAGGCCCTCCCTGGATCTGAGGAGAGTTCTGGGTGCTCAAGCTTCATTCACATCACGGTGAGTCCGTCTCTTGGTTGAGTCAAGATCTGAAGGAAGAGATGAGGTCCTTGTGCCTAAAGCCTTCCAAACTGGCCATGGTAAGGAGACTCAGGAGTTACCCAAGAGAGAAATGGGCTGAGAGCCAAGGGGTGGAGCAGATCAGGGCCAGAGGTGTTTCCAGGCCCTGTGGGGGCCCTGGGGAAGTCCTCTCCCCTAATCTAGCTTCTTGTCAATGAAGAGCCACAAGCATTTGCATCAGTGAGCTTACTTTCTTACCCTGTACCATGAAGCTGGGAGAAGACATTAAGTCTCCCTGATAAGATTCTGCTGGTATAAAGTCAGCAGAGGACAGGATTCAGACCAGAACTGACATCCTGATGCCTAGGCCTGAGGTTTCTTTACTTGTAGACCCTGGGAATGTCTGGGATGCTAGATGCTGGGAAGTTCCAGGGCAGGCAGATGACCCATCAGGGCCTGGCATCCAGGAGTCACGTCATGAGTGGCATGCAGATAAGTGAGAGGGAACTCATGGGCATCCTCACCATTGCCTGGAGGTGTTGAATTCTTTCCCCTTCACGTACCTTTGCTTATGCTGTTCCCTCTGACCTTGGTTACTTTCTTCATCCCCACCCCACTGCTTGTCTCTCCATCCCTACTTCATAAAGTCCTACCCGATCTTCCAGGCCCAGCTCAAAGGCCACCAATTCTAGGAAGGTAAGATGGTACAGGCAGTGGGGGGGCAGGTGACAACCACCTCTGAGGATCTGATCAAAGACATAGACTGTCGATTAAACATAAAACACACAGACATACACAAAATTGTGCATCATATTATTTCAGAGGTTGAAGACCATCTGATGCCTGGGTGTAGACCTCCTAAGAATCCCAGATCCCCAATCAAAAGCCCTTAATGGAGTGAAAAGATTAGAGCTGTGGAGAGAGTCAGACTTGGGATCAAATCTTGACTCTGCCACTTACTACAGTGTGACTGTGAACAAATGATTTAACATCTCTGCTCCTCAGTTTCCTGAGGTTGAGCCTGTCTAGCCCCTGTTTCCTAGAAGCTGTGACGACCGGGTAAGGAAATGTACCTGCTCACAGGCACCACACCTGACGGTCAAGATTGTAAGCTCCTTTTCCCTTCTGTCCCTGAAAAACTTAATGCACACATAGAGCATCAGGCTGGGAGGGAGCAGTGATGACAGAGGGGGGAGCACACCTCCTTTCCCTACCCTGGCCACAGCTCCATTGTCCCCTAATCTCTCCTCCACTGTCAGCCAGGGCTCAGCCAGCCCAGCCTTATCTCTCCCCACAGCCAGCCTGGGACAGCTTTTCTCAACTAGATTTACATTTTTATTGATTTTCTTTCTCCCTCCCAGAGCAGTCCCTCCCTTCTGCTTCCCCTTTGGCTATCAAATGGGCTTACCCTGGGAAATAGCAGATCTGGGGCTGGCCAAAAAGTGATGGCTCAAGGTTGGATTCATTCACCATTCCTTCATTCGTTCATTCATTCAATCACTTGAGCAAGCAACATATACTGCCTGTCTGCTCTGTGCCCTCTTCTGGCACTGCTGGGGACACAGCCATGTGTCAGGTACAATCTCTACTCAGGAAACTCTCCATGTAAACAGATAAGCTGACAAACAGTAACAAAAGCATGAGCAGTCGTACAGGAGAGGGAAGAAGAGGAAGCCAAGGACTCTTCCTGGGGCCAACAGGGAAGGCTTCCACGATGCTATATCAGAGCTGGCCTTAGGAATTAGATGGACTTCCTCAAGCGGAGAAGGTGGAAATGGGCAGGAAAAACAACAGGATGAGCAAAGAGAGAGAGAGAGAGAGAGATGGTGACAAGAGCAATGTGGCTAGAGGGCACTGCATGTGTAGGGCAATCAGGAGAGAGAAGAGAACGGAGGCTGGGAAGACCAGCAGGGACCAACTGTGGAGTTCCAGCTGAAGGTTTGGATGCTTTCCAGAGGGCAAGGAGGAACCCCTGAAGCATTGATTGATGGAGTATTCCATTGGCTAGTTACTTTAAGCAGGGAGTGACATGACAAGATTTGTATTTTGAAAAGGCCACTGGTTGCACCAGGGGGGCTTTGAGTGGAAAAGAGAAGCTGAAGGCCAAGCGCTCAGGCAGGGGGTGGGTGCCACAATCAAGAGAAGTAGGAGAGCTGGAGCCAGGTCAGGAGAGGCATCCTAGAAGTGAGACATCTAAGGTGAGTCTGGAAAGACGATTGGGAATGCACCAAGGGGAGAAGTTGGGAAGGGTGTCAAGGCAGAAGAAACTGCACAAAGACTCAGTAAACAGAAAGCTCCTGGCAGGCATGGGATATTCCACTAGTTTAGCAGGGCTGCAGCATGGCCTGAGAGAGAAGACATGGGGAGGGTGAGGCTAAAGAAGTGGGTGACACCCTCAATGCCACTCAGTGCTGTCCATCTCCTAAACCTAGCCCCAGGTGAGAGGAGAGGGAGGCCTCACCTCTGTACAGAAGTGGCTGTACAGGTCTGAGCCCTAGGACAGGGTGCTCCTTCGTCCAAACAAACCTTTTCCTGTTCATTACATTTCACATTTTACACGGTCCCTTTACAGCCAGTCCTCATGGTTTCCTGGTGAAGAAGGCAGGAAAGGGATTATTATTGCCACATTGTAGGTAAAGAAACTGAGTCCCATGAAAGTGCAGAAACTTGCCCAAGGTCACTCAAGAGACCAGGTATCCCCCTCCTAAGACTCCCATGTTGTTGCTAATAAACCTATTTGTCCTTGAGTCACATATACACAATAGATGTAGTAGGAGCTGACTAACGTGGTTGGGATGAAAAAAGGGGGGAGAGAAAGCACATCAGATAAAGAGGCTTCCTTTTTGTGTCCCCATTTCCTCAACCTTCATCCTGCAACTGTGGACATTCCAGCTGGGGAAACAGAACCCAGGTCCCTCTACTTTGGAATTCTATAGACAGGAGGGACAATCCCAGCTCTGCCACTTACCAGGCATGGGAAGTCTATGCACTCATCTGAGCCTTGGTTTTCTCATCTGTAAAAGAGAGAAATAAGCTTCATCTATCAGAAACATTGAAGGGATTTAATGTGAGAAGGTAGCAATATAGTAATCTACTGCTGAGTAACAAATTTCCTGGCTGGCACAGTGGCTCACACCTTTGATCCTAGCCATTTGGGAGGCCGAGGCAAGAAGATCACTTGAGCCCCCGAGGCAACATAGTGAGACCCCATCTCTCCAAAAAATAAAAAAAAAAAAAGAAACTTAGCCAGGTGTGGTAGCACCCACAACTGTAGTCTCAGCTACTTGGGAGGTTTAGGCGGGATGATTTCTTGAGCCCACTGCAGTGAGTGGTGATTGTACCACTGCACTCCAGTCTGGGTAACAGAAAAAGACCCTGCCAAAAACAAACAAACAAACAAAACACACCAAAAAACAAATTTCCCCAAAGTTTAGTAACTTAAAACACAAGTATTTATTATCTCATAGAACTTCTGACCATCAGGAACCCACAGATGAGCTAACCGGAAGTGCCTGGATCTTCATTAGAATTTCTGTAGTCAAGTGGCAGCCAGGGCTGCAGTCATCAGAAGGCTCAACTGGGGTGAGAGGATCCACTTCCAAGTTCATTTGAAGGTTGCGGTTGGGCCTCTGTACTTCGTTGG